TGTGATGTTTCTTTCTTCCTGGTCTGTATTCCAACATGTATCATTTGTACTTGCTCCTTTTTTTTTCTGTCATTGAGAACATTACTTAATTTTATTTGGTCAGCAGTAGTGATGAACATCCTGAGTATTTGTGCTTGTTCTTCATCCTCATAGAAGCAAAATCATCAACAATTTAAGTCATGTTAGCTTTGAAAAGTTTCTGTAGAGACTATTAGAGGTATTCCATAATTTCAGCAAACTGCCTTTCAGTATTTATCATGTCTTTCAGCACCATTTGGCCAAAATACCAGTATTTTCTTAAGGAAAAAAGATATTTCGCATTCTTATACTGTGCAAGTTTCGACTACCCATGTATTAAAGACTGAAAAGGAGTAGCTTATTTTCATAAAGTCAAATGACAGTGAGAACAAACCGTGTTGAGTCGACTGGGAAACAGTGTGGGGGGTGGGTGGCGGGATGGGGGTGCTGCTCTTCATATGTGACCCGTGTGATGCCCACGCACCTGCCACAGGATGGCTCATGGCTCCTCGGGGCCCAAGGTCGAATCGCAAGGCAGGCAGCATTTAATTTTCTAGCTCCTTCCCATTTCCTTGCTGACCCCCCTTTGTCTGCACCATCCCCGTGGCCTCTCACAGGATCTGACAGAGGTGGCCTTCCTGAGCATCCCTCAGACCATCTCTTCCATGAATGCTTCCAAACAGGAGGCCTCCACCCACTCCCACAAGTAAATCTTCGTCTTTTGAAGATAGATGAAGAGACTTAGAATCTAATCTCCCAGCTCAGATATGATTCTTCTGTGTCATCTTTTCTAGGTCATAGAAGGAAAAGAGTATGTAGTTGGCTAGTTAAATAATTGAGACTAAAATCTAAAGCACAATAGGCCTCGTCGAGGGGTACGTTAGTTGCATTAGAGAAGAACTGTCTCTAGTTGGTGGGCTAGCTGAGGGCATATTCCTAGAGCAGGGCTCCTCCTGGGAGCTACTGTCTGTTTCTGGCAACTTCGCTTTTCAGGATCAGGAGAAAGGTTGTCAGCGACTTGACACTCTTCCTGAAATACTGCTGACCTCTGTGTTGTTGGTTTTTATTTGTTTGGGAGTACAGCATGGAAGGGACTATTTCATCTTTGCTATTTTGCTGAAATTGGTCATGCTTCCCAACATTTTCATGTCATGTCACACAGAGAGAGAAAATGATAATCAGCACTTGGGAACGAGAAGGGATTTAGAGCCTGGAGGAGGCTGCTCAAGGCTGGAAGGACTGACCTGGGACTCTGGCTCCCCAGGCCCCTCCTGGCTGCCCTGAGGCTGCAGCTGGACACTGGTTGGGAAGCTACCATTACGTAAGTCGTGACAACTCAGTTATAACCTTTTGGCCCAAACTGGCCACCGCCCAGGATTTGACAGAGCATGGCCCATCATTTTCAGCAGAACAGGATAGTCAAAGAGAAGGAGGAACCAAATTTGCAGCTTGGGTATGAGAAGATGAACACAGTGTTGATACAAGATGATAATCTAGTAGAACGAGCAGAACCGGAGTCAAGGGGGTTTGGTGATCAGTAGTCATCATCTAGACTCAGAATCAGGGCCAGATGGGAGAAACCATGATGCATAGGGATCCCAATTAGGGAGCAAAGCACAGTAATAGAGAGTAATTCAGGGTGAGAAGCACATGAAGGACTAGCCAGGTGGTATCTGCAAAGTGGACCTTTGCTCCTGGGTTGGGATTGGGAGGCAGAAATCCTGTCCCGGGAAGGGGCCAAGAAAAAAATGGGAACATAGGGCTTCTGTCCCAGGAGGGCCCCTGAATTCTAGCTGTGGCAGCAGATGAGGCATTTAGGAGCAAGGACTAAGGCATATGCCTCTCTAGGAGACCCGGAGACCATGAGGCCGCCTAGACTCATGAACAACAAGGCATGAGCACAGGTATCAGCACTGGGCACTGCTTCAGGTGTGGACCTTTGAACCCTAGAATGAACAACTGGGTTTAACAAATTATCTTTGGCCCCAGATCAGGATTGGTCCTGGGAACGTGGGGAAACTCACCAACCTGTGCACAAAAGGAAGGAGGAAAATGCAGAGGCAGAGAGCCGTCCTAGGCTGGACACAAAAAACAGCAATTCAGCCTCAGCTGCCAGGTGCTGCTGGGGCCAGCCCTCTCCCGGTTGCAGCTCGAAGGCAGTCAGGAGCGCTGCTCTTAAAGAAAAAATATGTATACTGATAAAATTTACCTTTACTTTTCTGTTTATCCTCAGATGTTAACATTATGCTTAAATATTCTGAAAAGCAAAGCTAGTATTTTTATTTTATTTTATTTAAAGATTTTATTTATTTGTCAGAGAGAGAGAGAGAGAGCACAAGCAGGGGGAGAGGGAGAGGGAGAAGCAGGCTCCCCACTTAGCAGGGAGCCCAATGAAGGACTCGATCCCAGGACCCTGGGATCATGACCTGAGCCGAAGGCAGACGCTCAACCGACTGAGCCACCCAGGCGTCCCAAAACTAGTGTTTTTAATTGCCATCATTCCGAGCTGTGTAACCTGGAGATGTGTTCTCACCGGGCTTGCCTTGTGGAATCAGGAGGTGCTCCACTCTAGTGATGCTTGGGGTGTTCCATTTCTCAGTGCTGGAGACACAGAGGGGCTAGAATGGAATGAAGAAGTAACAAACAAGTGACTGAATGACTAGAGGGACTGATTGATGAATGAAGGTTGAGGGAACCCAAATTTCTCTCCACTGAAGCAAGTCCTGAACAAGAGGGTCTGTGGCAGCCGTCTACAGTGCTGGACAAATAAGGCTTGGGAAGAGAACATCAGTGCCATGCAACACAAATCATGTTGGGGGGAAATGATATGAAATAAAGAAAATTCATGACTGTAGCGAATCATTTAAAAGTCTCAATTTGACAGTATGTTAGATGGATAGCAAAGTTTTTCTTAGTAATAGTATCTTAATGAAAACTCACTTGTGCTTGAAATAAACATTTCCCAGTTTCCCTTAGGATAGCCTTATGCCTTTCAACTTTTATCTGCAGAAAAGTTCTTTCTTAAATTTCCCTTAGATCTCGTATGCTGCAGCTTAAACAGATCACTCCTGCTGCATTGTTATTGGAAACCATACTTGATCACATCTTTGCTTCTCACACAGGACTCTAGCATAGGCTGACAGATTTCCCCTAGCCATTAGTCACAGCAAACAGTACTGTTCTACCCTGTAAACACCTGCCTCGGCTTCTCTTCGCGCAAGAATTATACCACACTTCTCTCTCATGTTTCTTCTTTTGATGATGTTAAAAACCTTGTCCCTCTTCTACCCACCTGATTGGTTGGTGCTAGTAATTAAGTGATCTATTTTGAGGCTTCTCAAGAAAGTGCCAAGCAACTTGGGGATAGTTGCTTATCCTGTGTGTGACTGTTTTCTTACCCACACAATAAATATATTAATACCATCTTTGGGTATTTAGTAATAAATATTAGAAATAATATAGGTAAAAAGCCTTGAGTTTTAATGGACCTATAGTACACACTCAGTAGAGATAGCTTTTTTGTTCTTATTATAAATTATATTTATGTATAAATATGTCTTAACTTCTTCACTGGGTTTATAGTCTCTCAAATGCCTATGATGTAGCAGATGCTCAGTTAATGGATTATTGAATCAATAACTGAATAAGCCAATAAATCAACGCCAAGTATTACAAATTGCAGAACATGCATGTAGAGAGGACTCCCTTGTCTGTAGCAAAGGCTGCTGATCATCCCTATTGTTCGTTCAGATTCACTCTGGCTTGTTGGGTCAGGCTGGTGTCATCCAGAAGATCAATTCTAGGTATAGGTTGGTACTAAAGGCCTTCTGGGGTTAGATTGTTTATGGGCTCTCCTTGGAAAACTCCATCTGCTTGAAAATAGAGGAAAAACTGCATTGGTCCCTGATTTTATCATGCCATTAACATAACAAAAGAAAATATTCATCCATCGAAAAAGAATTTATTATGTGTCATACGTCAGCAAATGTATAGTAAATTGGAAGCAAATTCCTCAAAAAGACCAGACTGCCTAGATATTGATGCATTTGACTATGTGCTTCCCTAGATGGAGATTATAATAGCACTATGATAATAGTAGCAACTGCCATGTTGGGATGTATGTGTGTGTGTGTGTTAGGATCGGGTCTGATTTTCCCATTTAACTGGAGAGAAACAGAAGCTTGAGTATGAAATGCCTTCCCCCGGAGTTGCCTGCAGGTGACGTGTCACCCCTGGGCTTTCCCTGATAGTGGCTGCCTCACTCCTAAGCAGCACAAGTTTGGGGCTTCTTTGGAGACAGGGCTGTGGGCACAGAAATCTGACAGAGACTACTCATTAGTCTGTAGAAAGAATCAGATCCTGGGTCCTGGTAGATCCTTGCCAGTTAGGCTCCAAACCACATCCCAAGACTGGGGACTCAGCCTTCACTGTGCCCTCTCCTTTTTCATCTCAGGTGTTCCTTCACATTCCAACACAACACTTCCTAGCAGGTTTCAGGAGGATTAAGCAGAAATACAGATATAGGATTTCTGGATACATGAATGTTAAGGAAGAAAAGCATAATATTCTCTGATACTGGTGAACAGTTTTCATGACCCATAGTATTTTGTGATGTAGGCGGTCAAATCAGGGCATAAATATCAGAGGATACAAACTTTGAATCAAGTGTTTATATAACATTTCCATTGCTGTACCTGAAGAACATCATTACGTTATTCTTAGATGTGTAAGTTTCCAAAGTTGTAAAAACTGTATGTGCTGATGACTCCACCTGTCACAGTCTGCTGACCAGTGTCTATGGTCTGGGACGTGAGGTTTATTCAGAGGGCAAGAGGAGAAGAAGCTTATTAGGGTGTACTCAGTGAAAGAAGAAGGCCTCCCTTCAGTCATTAAAATTTGGATGTAAGTCTGGCCCAGTGACGTTGGGTTCCTGATTTATTGCTATAAACTGACAACTGTGCCCTCATTTTTATACAAACCAGTGCTTTTGGCTGCCCGTATTCAGACATGAACTTGAAAAAGGAGGCAACACTTCATGATCGTCTGAGAGAACAAACACAGGCAAATTTGGAATCCGACTCTTCGCATTTGAAATCGAAGAACCTCTGCAGTTTGAACTTCAACGGAAAACATGAAAAGGTGAACAGTCAGCCTAGGTAAGGACCTTTTTGAAAATTTAAAGTAAACCATGGAGAATAGTAAAAGAACAACATTTTTAATAGTAATATACAGTTCCTTATATTTCTTTGAAATAGTTGTGTTTGGTTTTGTATATTATTACATTCACTAGCTCATGGAATTCATCTAAGGCTTGATGTTCATTTAAAAAGCACTTTTTGTGTCTTCATTCTCAAAAATTCGGATTCATTTCTTTCTAAATGTACATATTACATGTGAGTGATAAGAAAGTGCATCTCATTTTTAAAATTCCCTAAGATTCCCTTTTGCCTTGAAAACATCTTTATTCAGAGATGGGCTCTCTTTAGGACGTGGAGTATTTGCATCTACTGCATCCTACCAGGATTTCCTGTCCTGCCTTGTATCTGTCTTGTCCTTGTTAGTCCAGATGCACCTTCCATATGATTTCTTCTTACTGGGAACAGTTTCCGTGTTGATTCATTGGTAACACATTATCCTTTTGTTCTTAAATGCAAACTTACCCTTGAAACATCAATTTCCAATTTTCATTTACATGTTACCATTTTCTAGGGAGCTGCAAATGCAACCTTATTTGATATGTCTTAACCTATGCCAGGAATTATAAACATAGAAAAATCTGACACTCAGTAAGTAATTGGAGACCAGACAGACAAGGAGCCAAGAAAGGCTGGTCAGAAAAGCAAGGAGTGAGTGTTTCTCAGACCCCACTGCAGGAAGGAGGCACTCCTGTTCAAGCCCTTGAGAGACAGTAGACCCTCCCTGTGTGAGCTTTGAAGGAGCGGCTACTTGAGGGGGGCTGTTGTTTCTCCCCAGAGCCTTGCTCTGTTCATTCAGCACCATATGGAAGGAAGAGGCATGCGCCTCTCATCATGTGGGAGCCCCAGCTCCCAATGGAACAACTTTCTGCCCGTTTATGCCTTCAGTCCCAGCGAGGCTGCTTCCTCCCTCCCAAGGAGACACCTGTCCATCAGGAGAGTTTGGTGCAAAGGGTGGGTTTTGTTCTTTTTCAAGCAAATGTTGGTATAACGTATTTGGGTGATGTTTCCTTCTTGTTGAGTAGCTGATTTTGGTTTTGATCTCTCCGCACACCACTGTGCAGATTAGCTCTACTGCACCGTTTATTTCCTATGGATATGCATGTCTATTTTTGTAGCTGTATCTTGCATTTTTTATTATTTGTTATACACCCACTTCTCTTGTTGAAACTTCACAGGGTCTTGCTGTTCTTTACTGCTTTTTTCCCGCCCACACTGTTTACAAGTCTAAGTAGTTGAGGGGCTCCGGTGTCCTTTCCATGTCCCAGTGGAGGGAGAATTTTTTCCTTTGCTTTTTTTAAAACTGTTTTCCAAGGAATGGTATTTATTTATCCCAGAATTATTGAGACCAGTACATCCTTTTGCTCATATTCTTTTTTGTTCTGTTACCTTTTTATTTTCCAAATAAAAATTTAGTCAGTTTCTCTTGTAAACATTTTAGACGTTCGTCCTCAATGTCAAAAGTCGGGGAGACAAAACAGATCTTTGAACCGCTTTTAAAAAAACTGTTAAACTGCCACATTCTCTGAGGCTAGCTAAGCCTTTCTTTTCAGCAAACATAGATATATGGCCTCTCCTCTCTTGAACTCCTCTTAGGAACATAACTCTTTTCAATATATTATTATATGCTTTACCATTTTGAAGGGGATTTACACTGAAATAGACCAGACAAGCATAATTGCTACAGATAGAAAGAAGAAGTAGAGAATGTTAGTTGATAACCAAGCAGAAAAATCACACATGACCCTATCCTGTGGAATCCTATTTCATGTACGCCCAGTGCTGTATAAGGAACTGGGCAAGGGGAGGGGAGTCATACTGTGCACATCTTGAATTCTTAAGCCTTCTTTTGTTTTCCATTCTCAAGACCAAAGCCCTCCTTGCACTCCAGTCCCAGCCCACTTTTTTTCATTTAACCAGCCCTCATGACAATGTTTGCTTAGTATTTGCTGGAGTGCCCACCTTGATTCTACCCCCATCTCTGTGACATCCTGCTCATGGTCTAGAATTCCAGAGTGGTGGGGAAAAAAAAGCCAGGAAATCATCAAGGAATCATAAGTAAGGCTGATTATGAGCAGAGAAAATATATTTTAATTCTCTTTACAGTTTACTTGTAGTGGTTTCCTGGGGCTGACTTTTCCCTAACTTAAATCTTTGCTCTTAAAAATCACAAGGTAGCAGATACAGGTGGAGACTATTTAAATTCTATCTCTTTCTTCTACCTGTTGAGAATGATTTTTACCTGGCTCATGTCCAAGGATAGGCATGGGGGTTAAATTAGAGAAAATTAGAGTTACAGATTCCATCCCTCCTCCCATCCATGCAGCCAGCCATTCACCAATCCATCACTGAGCTCTGGACAGGCCTTCTGTAATTGCTTATACCAGGAACACTTGTCACCTTAGAATATCCGGACTTCTGACAATTCAAGTGCAAAATGTAAAATTAACTCTTGACATTCTTCCCAAATCAGTTAGATGCTGCCCAAAAATTTAGGGAATTTTGTCTTTTCCCTAACTGCATCCCAGTTTTGTGATTATTTTTAAAAGTATGTTTGTTTTTATATTAATCTTGGTAGAGGGGGTTATTATTAGTAAATCATCTGATTATGTTCACATTTTCTGAATAGAGGGTCAAGTTTTAAAGTTGAGTAGACCATATACTACTAGATGTTTACAAGATTCACATTCATAGCGGTAATATTCCATGTTAACACAGCTTTAAAGAGCCAGTCTCACAGAAGGTCATCATTTCTGACAGACTGTCGTTTTCCCTTTATGCTAATAGAATGGAGTAGTATTACATTCCTGGTGCATTATGTACAGGCAAATGACCTTATACTTGAGTTTCTTTCATTTAGGTATGTACTCTAGGGGATATTTTTAATTTGACAGTTTATAGTTTGCACATACATTACCTTTGGAGCTTCCCATAGTCTTATAACTTAGGCAAAACAGATATTATTGTCAGCATAGTATTGCCATTAATAAGTGAGGATGTTGAGATCCTTAGTAGTAACTGATTTGGGACCCAAATATAGGTGTTCTGATTCCATCCAGCATATTCCTGTTTCAGTAAACTAATAATAGTAACACTAGAAGTATCAGTAATAATAGCTATCTAATATTAATATCACACACTTACTTTGGGCCACAAAGCACTGTGCTAAACAGTCTGCATACATCACTGTGTTAATTTCATTTTATCCTCACAACAACCTTATGTGTGGTAAGTATTCTTATTCTGATTTTATAATGTAGACACCTGCAGGTTCAGAGACGTTGGGCAGAGTTTGCAGGATCACACAGACAATTAGTAGGAAAGTTAGGATTTGGGTCTAGAACTGCCTGATTCCAAATCTTATACACATTTCCACTACATTAGACTAGCCAAGGGATGTCAGCTTAATGTTTGAACGGTCTGGCTGAATTTATGTCTAGATGACTTTCTACTGCGTCTGTGATTCTCAGGGTCATCTTGTGATGCATTTATTTCTTGTTTTGTGAAAATAGAACTATTTGGAGGGGAAGAATCTTACCATGATTTCCCATAGCCATTTGTTTTTATTTATACTATATGTTATACAAAATCTTCTTTCTTGAACACATTTTATTTTAATAGATTAAGGGTCTCTCTCTGCAACATGGGAATAAAATTATACTCATTAAAACAATTTCATCATAAAGAAATTACTTTGAAATGCAACTGTCCCCTCCCTCCATATTATTTGTTAGCTAGCTTCCCTGGGTCTGAGTGGAGCATTTTTTCAGGCATTTGCAGCCACCTAAGTATTCTTTAATATCTTCTTTTGCTTCCCCAAAGCAGTGCTTAACATATTCTAATTCACACAATCGGTAGAACCCCATTGTTAATATTCAGTCATATTCATACTCATTCATTGCTGTTAAGAAAATCTAAGAGGGACATCTCGGTGACTCAGTCAGTTAAGCATCTGACTCTTGATTTTGGCTCGGGTCATGATCTCAGGGTCATGAGATCGAGCCCCACATTAGGCTCCGTGCTGCTGAGCATGAAGCCTGCTTAAGATTCTCTCTCTTCCTCTGCTCCTCCCCCACGCTGTCTCTCTTTCTCTCAAAAAAGAAGAAAAGAAAAAGAAAGAAAATCTAAGAAAATGCCTAGTAAATCTCCTTTTTCCCCTAATGCCTTCCATATTATAAATTTTATGCACTTCCCTAAGGCCTATACTGATAATAAAAATGGCTGAGGAAGCTATGGTAATCAGAGGGAATGGTGTGTAGTGGGAATAGTTCCTTAATGATCCTCATAATAAATTGTGCTGCCACAAGCCAGCTAGTTTATTTCCACTACTCAAATTAGCTGCACCATAAATACCTGCTATGGGGTCCATTCTCAGAATTAAAACAGTGTTAGTTGGTTGTTTCCTGTATTAGTCTTCCAAGTCATTACCTAGGTTTTCCTTAATCCATCAGTGTTTTTTCTCATAACTTCCCACATAAATTCTCTGCTTGGGGAGATGAAGCCTACTCAGTGTCCCACTCACTCCCTGTGATCACCCACAATATTGTTTTTATTCCTGGGCTGGTGCCTTTGTTCCCATTCCTCCTTCCTTATCTACTCCCACCTGCATCTTCTCCCTTCTCAAAGGCTCAGCTGTACCTTAAAGTTTTCTCTACAGCAGTTCCAGCCCATATGAGCTTCTTGAGGTCAGAGACCACATCGTACACATTTCTGTATTTCTGACACCTAGTATAATGCCTGATACTCAGTAGGCACTCAACAAGTTAAATAGATTTTGAGCAGCCACTCTGTGCCAGGAACTTGGTAGGTCCAGGGATATGGATACAGTAAGAGATAGCCCCATTCCTTGTTCTTAGCACTCCTTTGTGCTTTGGTCTATACCACACATCAATAGCTTGTGTGTCTGTGTCTACATGTGCCTTCTTAGTGCTTACATTGTATATGTGCCTTATTTTCTCGTA